ATGAAACTCAATCATAGCTCTTAATTGCTTGACTATGTGAAAAGAAATCACATTAATGCAGCTAATTAAGTGTACGGCAATAGATGCAACATAATTAGGAGTGGAATGTAAAAAACAAGGGATGGCAAAGGTGCAGGCAAGGGCTGCGGGGGACGGCGAGGCACAGTCACCGCGCTGCTGGTGCGTTCCGAAAGGGTCCCTGTGCCGGCTTGGAAAAAATAATCCGTGTGATGAGCATGGACAACTTGAGAAGAAAAATGCAAATAGGTTTGCAATTACTACTTTTTCAAGCTGTTGAGGGGCAGGAGATGGCACCTCTGGGGGGCCTGGCTCTTGAGTGGGCCCCAGGGACTTGTTAAGTGCTGTTTAAAAGTACTTGGCTGCGTTCCGAAAGGGTCCCTGTGCTCCTGTGCCGGCTTGGAAAAAATAATCCGTGTGATGAGCATGGACAACTTGAGAAGAAAAATGCAAATAGGTTTGCAATTACTACTTTTTCAAGCTGTTGAGGGGCAGGAGATGGCACCTCTGGGGGGCCTGGCTCTTGAGTGGGCCCCAGGGACTTGTTAAGTGCTGTTTAAAAGTACTTGGCTTTGAATTACCCTCATGCCTTGTTAAAGGGTTTTTTCCTCTTTTATCTTCGATCAGCATTTTCGACAACTAACATGGGGAAGGGTAGTATCTGAGACATTTGCATATCAAAATCAAGCTTGCTCTCTTTATTTTACCCAGCGAGGTCCCTACCTCAGACCCATCAAGGCTCTGTGCATTTCACTTCTGAGAAGACGACATTGTTTAGTGGATTGTAGCTTTAATACCTCAAGTGCCAAGCTGGGCAGAGATGAAAAGGAGGAGTTCTTTCAAAACCAGAAAACTCAGTGTCGCTTCTCCAGAAGAGCCTGGAAGCCAGGGACTCATGTGTCCTTACATTCCACCTGTTTATGAAGCACCAGGTTGGGAGGCTCTTACCGACTAGGAAATGCACTTTGTAAAGTTGTTTAAAAAAATGTAATGGCTTGAAATATAAAAATTGCTAGATTTATAGTCTGATTTTTTTTGGAGCTATCCTTCTGAAGTTTCAGCGCCTAACTCAGGCAAGAAAACAGATCCCCTAGCCCATGCTGAGCAAAAGATAAATGTGTTTCCTTGCCGCACTCAGATCCAAAGAACAGACACTGGGCCATTTCTATAATAATTTTAAATAAAATATCCTGGTTATTGTATGTTAAAACATGCCTATTAAAAGAACCCATGCTGAGGCTTAGTCACTATCTGATTAGCCTCATTTTAGAGCCCATAAGCAACAAATGCTCAATTACACTCCTGTTATTGTATTTTAATTTGTTAAGAATTGGCATTAAAGAACAAAGTTATAGCAAGTTGATATTTTTACAGGAGTAACTGTGCAAGAAGGAATTCATTATTTACAAATGTTCACTTCTGTTTTGAAACTTGGGTTTGCAGACTTGGGGTGGATACTAACGGAAGGAAATAAAGATACTTAAGACCAACCTTTTTTTTAAATGACCTACACTAACTGAAGAACATCTTCTACGTGATTTTTATTTGTGTGGATACACTGAGCTCAGGCCTGACAGTTCCTCTTTTTCTGCCAGTCTGCCTTGTCCTTCAGCGTAATTAATTTAATAATTGGTTCTTTCCATCTTGGTCCACATTCCTGCCAAAAAACCATCAGCTTTGGGGCCAGCAGGTGGCGTAGTAGTTAAGGTGCTGGTCTCCCACTGTGGCCGACTGTAGTTCATTCCTGGAGCTGGCAGCTTGATAATCACACCTGGCGTGCGTGTGTCATGGCCAAAATCCCAAAAGGAGAATGGAGGAGAAGGGAATGCAGTGTGGCCATCGCCCCTCAGGGGTGATTTCTTGCTTTCTGTCTCTCTGGTGAACACATGTGCCCTATAGCAAAAATCTCTTTTTAAAAAAAAAAAAAAAAAGTCCAGTGTCTTCACTTCCATGGGGAGTCTGCTGTCAAGGCACGTGAGGGTAGATTTATTGTTCTAAGCCCAGACACGGGTGGCCATGGCCAGCCCTAACCAGGCTGCCCTGCAGACCCAGGGTGGCTCGGGTTCCCAGGTGGCTTATCCTCTGCGGAGGCGTAGACCTGGCCCAGCTTCACCTCTGCCTCTGATTTGCCCCATCATTATGGCTTCCAACCCTTCTTCCTTTTGTCTTTTAGGCCCTTGTTTTTGAGCATTTACCGAGAGCTGGGCATTGCTGGCTTGTCTTCAGCAAGTCACCAGGGACCCCGAGGCATCCTTCCTGGGAACTAGGGCTTGTGAACCTCCTCGGGCTCTGCATTTCTCCACGACAGGGTCTCCGCCAACATGACGGTGCCCTCACATTACAGAGCTTCTCCTTCTGCCCTACCTTCTCTGTGGAGAATTCCTGCACCCTCCTGCCTCGAGTCTAGTTTGGCTTTCTTGCAAAGCCTCCTTGTATTTCCCTGAGTTACGGGGTACAGCTTGCACCCTTTGCTTTCTTTTTTTTTTTTTTTTTTTTGAGAGGTTTTTGCTATAGGGCGCGTGCGCTCACCAGACAGACAAAGAGACAGCGGGAAATCACACCCCAGGTGGGATGGCCACACTGCAATCCCTTCGCCTCCATTCTCTTGGGATCTTGGGCATGCACGTACACGTGCCCGGTGTGAGTTTAAGCCACCGGGTCCGGGACTCGAACGGCGGTCAACTACGTGGGAGTCCAGTGACATAGCCATTATGCCAACTGCTGATCCCCAGCCTGCACTCTTGATGCCCGAGCCGCCCTTCCTTCCATGGTGGCCAAGGAGAGAGCGCCCGTCCACACCTTTGTCCTGGGGGATCGTGCTTCCACCCCTGACCCCAAGTGGCATCTTGTGCGTGTGGCCCCTCATTGCGCCAGCCCTCCCCTGCTGGGATGCCAGTGTCGTCCTGCTGTTGAGAGAGGGACGGCCGGTTTGCTGGGAGCCACCAGGTCCTTCTCCTGGCCTCCCTGACGCCTGTCCCTTCCGCTCCTTCCACCGTCTCTGGCTGTCTTCATTTCACAGGTGGGGCCTCCGACCTTTGCACTTTGCTCCTAGAACTTTGTCTAGCTGTCTCTCCGCATCCGTTAACTGCACTGGCTGGCAGTTACAGACCAGCCCACTCTTGCATCCTTCCTGAGTCCTCTGCAGTGAGCACCTGGGTTTGTTTGGCAGTCCTTCTGAAACTACCTCGTCCTGAACTCACTCACTACAAATACGGATGTGCTGGTTTTAGAATCTTGCGGGAATCCACTGAGATTCTGCTAGGGAAGAATGCGTATTGTCCCCCTTCCTGTATAGCATTGAAATACTCATTGCCATGTATCCAGGAGTGATTTAGAATATATCCTTTCTTAATGGGTAATATCAATAAATATGTGTCCAGAATTCTTTTTTGTTTGTTTTTGAGGGGTTTTTGCTATAGGGCACGTGCGCTCGCCAAAGAGACAGACAGAGAGACAGAAAGTGAGAAATCACCCCCCAGGGGGGATGGCCACACCGCAATCCCTTCTCCATTCTCCTCTCAGGATCTTGGGCACACATGCACATGTTTCTGGCATGAGTTTAAGCCACTGGGTCCGGGACTTAAACCACGGTCAACCTCATGGGAGTCCAGCGACATAGCCATTATGCTAACTGCTGGTCCCCAGAATTCTTAAAATACTATGTCTTCAGACAAGGAGACTTCTACACTAAAAAAATAGTGTAATGCCTTAAATGGTTAGTGACCGTGGGTTCACGCGGACCCTTGCCCTATCAGCTGTTTTTTCCTCCCCTGCTCATCAGCCGGTCTCCTCCCGTGGAGTACTTCTACTCCACTGTGAGCCACTAACAGCCTGTACAGGACTGTCACTGCATTTCCCTGGTAACGGCTACTCACTGGCCTCCGAAACAGAGAGAACAAGGTTTTTGTTTTTGTTTTTTTTTCCAAGTATAGCAACCACTTGGAAAACCAAAATACCTGAATATCAAATACCAAATAATACACTTTTTTTTTTTTTTTTGAGAAAGAGATTTTGCTCTAGGCCAGAGAAACAGCAAGAAATCATCTTCTGGGGGGATGGTCACTCCACAGTCCCTTCTCCATTCTCCTCTTGGGAACTTGGGCACACATGCACATGTGCACTTGGCACGAGGTTTAAGCTGCCAGATCCGGGACTCGAACTGCGGTTAACCACGCTGGAGTCCAGCAATGTAATCATTATGCCATCTGCTAGTCCCCCCCTTCTTTTAAAGAGCTTTTTGCCTTGGGGTACATGCACTAGTGGGGGGAGAGTACACAAAGACGGTGGGAAGTCACCTCCCAGGGGACCGTCACGCAGTAGTCCCTTTGTTCTCCTCTGGGATCTTGGGCACACACGCACACACACCCGGCATGATTTTCAAACCACTGGTTCTGGGATGTGAACATATGGGAGTCCAGCGACGTGGCCACTACGCCATCTGCTGGCTTCTATGACTTTAACATCCAACTAACGCGTCCACCTGCGCGCACACTTTTTTCCCAATACACTGTCTCCTGCCCCAGACTCTTCCTGGTCCTTAATAAAATTCTTGACCTTTACTTAAGACCTTTATGGTTTTCACCTGAATCCTCACCAGACACCTCCAGTCTGGCCGGCACGGTTAGCGGCATTCCCGCCTGAGACAGAAGGGCTGCCAGAGAGGAGGCTCCGGCCCACTGCATTCCCCCTAGAGTGTGCAGGATGAGCCCTGACGCTGGGTGTGGCGTCCAGAGGCCAAAGTGCAGAATGCCCGTCTCCTGATCCCCCGGGGAGCCTCGTGGTTCCAGTGCCCAGGACATAGAGGCAGACTCTGCCTTAATGTACTGTTGATGGCACAGGACCGGACAGAGCAGCCATGATGTTTACGGTGCTCTGCGCGGGGGAAGGAGTCCGGGTCGCGGCTCAGAGGTCTCACCGAGCCTCAGTGCTGGGTGGAGAACGCCTCCTCCTTAATCTCTCGTGGGCGTTTGCCGTTCCAACAGGATTACATGCAGAACGTTCACGGCAAAGAGGTCGATCTCCTGAGGACCACGGTGAAGGTCCCCGGGAAGAGGCCGCCCCGAGCCACGTCGGCCTGCGCACCCATCTCCAGCCCCAAGACCAACGGCCTGCCCAAGGACATGAGCAGCTTACACATCTCACCAAATTCAGGTAAGCGGGCGGCAGGCGCCCCGGGCGAGTGAAGGCCAGCCGCGGAGCAGAGCCAGTGCTCGAGGACCGGCAGGACTCTGGGTGGGTGGAGACCGTCACCATCACACTGCGGGTCGTGGTTCCCACAGCTCTTCCCTTCTGTGGCCAGCCGTTTCCTCTCCCCCACTGGTTCCAGCCAGCAGGTGGTGGTGCTTTGGGTCTCCCAGGCTGGAGATTTGAAAGTGGGAGTTTGACACCGAAATGGTTATTTAAGGGACTTCAGAAAACATGGCTTCATTGTTAGCGTGTTGATGATTGATTTCTGGTATCTATGTGTGAGGGTGGAAAACCCACTTGAGCAAGATTTATTCTTTTGAAGAATTATTTTTTATTTAATTTTATGATGATGATTTTCCAGTCTGATCAAAGAGAGACAGAGGAAGAGAGGGAAGGAAAGTGAGAAAGCAAGCCACTGGGTCTAGGACTCGAACCACGGTAGGCCATGTGGGAGTCCAGTGCCTTTAACCACCATGCCACCTGCTGGCCCCCATTTGAGCAAGATTTAAATGAAACCATTTGCCCTATATTAAAATGAAAAATCTCTCAGCTTTGCATTTTTACTGTCATTCATCATTCTTATTTTTTTTTAAACAACCTTCTGCTGCAACCTGCCCGCTGGGACGTCAGGTGTGCACCAGGCCCATCTCTTTTGGGCAGGGTCTCGCCATTTGGCTCCGGCCAGCCTCGATTTGTGAGCTCCTGCCTTAGCTTCCCAGAGGCATACGCCACCACTCCTGGCATTTAGGTTGGACCTGGAAGCGAACCCAGGCCTCCTTGTGTGCCAGCCTGCAGAGCACACGCTGAGTGGTGCATGCCTCCTCAGCTGGGCTGAGGTCATGTTTTAATGCAACTTTAGTTTTCTACATTCTCTTTTTAAAAAAGAATTTCTTTTTCATTCCAGATTAGGGGAAGTGTTTTCTCAAAGTGCAGCGTGTTCAGAAATCCGTAGTTTCCATCCACATCACAAGTCGTTCAGAGTATAATCTGTTGGTTTACATAAATCTTCGTAAACGGTTGTGCTGCGGCCTAAACCTTCCCGTGGTTCCTTATTAGAGAAAAAGTGTCAAGACCCGCTTTAGGCTCTCAGGAACAGGTTCAGTCTCCTTCAACATACGCAGTCCCTTCAGGAATCGTTTTCTGCAGCAGGAGGTCCCACCCTCCTCCCCCGTGTCTAGCCTCCTCAGCACAGTGCTGCTCTGCACTGTGCTCACACACACCTTGCCCCTCAGAGAGGCCGTGCGTTCCCTCTTCCGAAACGTCAGGTGCTTTTAGAGAGGGAGGATGCTGACCGCACAGAGCACTGGCTGGGAGAGGGGGAAGGACCGTGGGGCTCGCCAGCCTGGGCCCTGCCACGCCGGCACTGGGTGGCATTCAGCAGCTCACAGAGCTGGTTCTTCCCACTGCCCTGGCCTGCATGTGTTGAGGTGTGGTGTCGGGTCAGGTAGCACAGTAACAGTGCTGGGGAAGGACTTGGAGATGCAAATGGTTGTTACTGACAAAACAAAAACTGGCTCTCTGATAAAGGAAACACCAAGAAGGTGGTCTCGTGTGGTCTTGTATGACCTGCTGACCACCCGCTGGCGGTGCCCGTGAGGTTCCCTGTCGGGGTATGCACTGATTCTGGCTGGGATGAGAACCTGCAGGGGGTACAAAACTGACATCCTCCGACGTTACTACATCATGGTATTCACACATGTGTCCAAAGGAGTGTTTATTAAGCACCTATTTTGTACCATTTTCGAAACTGTGCGTGCTATAGATAGAGCCCCCAAGTGCCAGAATTCCTGTGCAGGGCACCACTCTTATGGCCAGCTTTATTTATTTATTTATTTATTTATTTTTAAGGTTTGCCAAAAGGCACATGCACCCAGCAGAAAAAGACACGGGGGTTGGGGGAGGGAGGAGGCAGGAGTGAGAAAACACCCACTCCCGTGAGGCATGGCCGCATTGCAATCCCCTCTCCTTTCTACTTCTGGAATTTGGGTGTGTACACACATGTACCTTGATGTGTTTCTCAAGATGCTGAGATCTAGGACTCAAACCATACATCGGCCACATGGGCTCCAGCACCCTCATCCACCATGCCACTGGCCTGCCTGATCCAGCTAAGTTCACCCTCCCCTGCACACCCATCATGCCCTGTTGCTTCACTTATTTATTCAAGTCGGTCTACACTTCCTGAGGCTCTGAGTTAATTTTTTTAACCGACAGGTAGAGTTAGTGTACCCTGACATGTTCGCGTGTCTGTGTGCATGCAGCGGCTGCACTGAGCTACTTCCCAGGTTCCCATGTGAGTCCACGGACAACAATGAACAGGCAGAATCCTTACCCTCCGGGTCCCACCCTCTGATGGGAGCAAAGACAAGCGGACAAATGCAGCACGTGTAGCCGGCCCGAGGGGGAGTTGCAGCGACGACGAGGTGGTCAGGTCCCAGGAGTCAGGCTGTGACTTCAGGGAACGGGCATCTCTGTGCTCAGGGGGAAAAGGCAAGGAAGTTGTCAGGTATATTGGATGAAGGGAGAGCGTATTTGATCTGAGGAAGCATTGAACATGTAAGATTAGGGTTTGGGACATTTCTGAGAGAGGGAGAGGGAGGTATTTTTTCCAGGGTCTCACCACGCTGTCCTCCTGCCCAGCCCCCACTCCCGGTTAGCTCGGAACACGAGTGCCTGGCTGGTTCAGGTTGGGTCATGGGCTGAAGCCAGGCCTCCATACACCTGTCACCCTGCAGCAGCACGCGCTCCCCGCCACTCGCACCCCCACGACAGGGCCTGAACGTCCCCGTGAGTGGAGACGTACTGCCTTGTGCCAGATGCCACCTGTTGTCCTGCAGGAACTACCAAAGGCCATGTGCATCGCACTACAGCCGGGGCGCAGGCTCGGTCCTGGTCCTCCTGTTGAGGGGCACAGCTGTGTGTCCTTAGAAAGCTTGTTCCAGTGCCCGCTTTCATTCTCCGTGAGATCGTCAGTTTGGGACAGTGAGCGGACTTGGGGACATGATTGAAATTTTTTTTGTAATCACACCTCTCCACTTAAGACAGCACAGCTTTCTGGCCCTCACCTCGAGGGCCTGGTGGGTTTTCTTCTCTCTTATTTGAATCCCAGGTGGGGATGTGGAAGTGGGGTATGACATCAGAGAAGCGTGGTGCCACTTCGGGAGGAGAAAACCTCATGGTCACATCTGAACCCAGGGACGTGGCATCCTCCCCAAACACACAGGGGAAGCCGTGGCCGGTGTCCAGGAGTGGGCAAGGACCCTCAGATAACAGCTCCGTGTGGTTCATCTGCTGCTTCCTCAGGTTATGAGACAGCGCTGGGAGAGGCACTTCTGTAAAAGGCAGCTACCTCATTAAAATGTTAGGGAATTTTAATTTACAGTGACCTCCTCCCACCTGAACATTAACCTGGAAAATGATGCGTTCACTCTTTCTCGCCTAAGAAGTTAAAGCAGGGCTAGCTCCATGGCACAGCAGCAGTGCCCTCTCGGGAAGCTGGAGCCCGTGTGGCAACCTTGGTTCGAATGTCCGGCCTGGTTGGCCTGGAACCCACCAGGCGGATGCGTGAGTGCCCGATACCCGGTGTGCCGGAGGGGAGGGCTGGCGGTGTGAGCAGACCCCGCACAGTGCTCAGACCTCTCTCAGGCGCACGTGTGTGCATTTGCACTCCATTATAAAGGTGAAAACTGTTCAGAAAAGTAGAAGCTATTAAAGCATTTGGAGGATTTGGGGGAGACTACACTGTATATTATCCTTTTGAAATGTAGCGTCCTGTATTTAAAATTTTAATTCATGAAATGCTGTCTCACGTAAGGAGTTCCCACACCCAAGTTTAACGTGAAGTCAGCTGATGCTCCATTTCAGCGGCGGACCTGGGCCGGACATGGGTGTTGGCCGTCGAGCCCTGGGCCGAGAACCGCGTGCGCTCCTCCTCCTCGACGCCTTTGAAGTCTGCTGTCTCATTTTAGATTTCGCGGGGAACTGGCGGCGTTTGCTTCCTTTTGTGCTTCCTTTTCTTTTTGATTGATTTTCTTATCTCATTGCTCCTGAATTAGATCAGCATTTTGTCTTCACTTCTAGTAACTTCTTCCGTGCACAGAGGCCTGACATGCGTGAATCTAAGTCTCCGTGCAGCAGTTACAGCTGCCTCGGCGTGAAGGTGGGGACGGCAGAGGCGGGTGGCTCCGTCAGCAGACGTGTCCCTCTGTCAGGGTCCCACCGTGTATTTCCAGATTAACTTTCGGAAAGGTTTTATATGAAATGCCTTCCACCAAAGCGTGTGCTCATTTCACCCCACACCCTCAACATTGTTGCTATTAGGAGCAACAAAATGACCTCACCGCTTGCTTACTCAGTGGTGGAGTTGAGCATCTCACATGTTATTGGCCATATGATTTTTTTTTTATTTTGGAATTTTCACATGTATCCTTTGCCTGTCTTGGTACTAGGTACTTACCCTTAATTTCTTTTTTTTAAGAATTATTTTATTTAACTATTTATTTATTTATTTATTTTAATTTGACAGAGAGAGGGGGGGTAAAGTGAGAAAGCAAGCTACCAGGTCTAGGACTCAAACCGCAGATGCCCACATGAGAGTCCAGTGCTCTTAACCACCACATCTCCTGCTGGCCCCAATATTAGTAATTTTTGATATAGTTACTGTTTTAATTCTATGATCTCATTTACATAGAGGTTCCCCCTGTTTTTATGTATAATTAAATCATGAGTCTTTTACTTCCGTGGCTTCTACTTCAAGCTACTTAGGCCACCTTTAATAATCCTGGAATCAGACCACCGTTCATATATGCATAGTTCACAGTTTCATCATTTCTTTTTCATTCTTTTGTTTGTTTTTAAATATATTTAACCCCTAAACCTTTGTTTGCGTCTATTGTATGCAACAAGATAGTTAATTAAATTTTGTACCCAAATACACGACCAGTGACCCTTCTCGTGTTGACTTT